CAGGTATCGTCATGGTTACAGCTGCGAAAACAGCAAAATTTGGATAAATATCCTCATAATCAGCCATGATAACTCGACAAATCTATTGAAGTGTGTGTGTACCAAGTCCCATATAATAACTGTCGTTTTGTAGCTGGCGAAATCACGGTTGGCCCGGTCGCCGTCTATGATATATGTGACGTCATTATTTATTGGACCAAACACAGGACTGAAATGGGTAATCAGCTGTTTTAGGGAATCCCTTCCATAGTTATTCAATTCTTCGTGTGAATCTGGGAAGTGAGATGGGTTCAGGACTTTGTCAAGACAAGTAAGGGTAGACAGACTGTTTTCAGGAAATCTGGCATGTAATGTACTGCACAATTCATCGATGAAGCCTGCACGTGAATTCGGCACTCGGCCGTCCCACTGTGTACCGTAAAATTACCAAGAGATATTGTTTCAGGTTTTCCGTTAAGCACTACTTTGATGAACATAATCGTATTTTTTTTCCACAGTAACGTTTACTGTTTCATCGATGATTAAACCAACGAACCTGCTTTCCTTTATTTTTGTCCTTTAGATCCTTAATAGTGCTTTCAACTAAAGCATGTTCCATTTCTTCCACTGAATCAGAATGTGTATATACCACACCACTTAAACTGGTACATCCATTTGTTTCCTGCAAATCCAGGAGACTAGAAAATTTATTAGTAGCAATATTTTCTTTTGCCATGAATAATACAGTTCCCATCATCACAGTCGATTTTTCATCATTTTTTTCCGTTGCCGCATTCATATGAGTTGCCATGGAAGTTCTTTGATACATCGTGGTAACAGCATGGTGATGTGCCGTGCTATCGCGATGCTCTTACAATGCTGACTTCTTCATATTAATGCAACCTTTTGTAAATTCCGTTTTGTTTACAAGCTGCGTCACATATCTTGCAGTACATCATAATTTTACCACATTTCTCTTCATAACGTAGCCATTTGAATTCCTGCAACCATTCTGAATTAAATTTCTGAATTTTAGTTTGGCTGGCCTTTTGACAACTGACAGTCTCAGACATTGAATCAAGTTTACGTTTTTGAGCAACATTTTGACTACAATCACCAATGCCCGTATCTTTGTCACCCTCTTTCTCAGTCTCTGAGACAACTTTCTTTCTTTTAAAAGGCGATTTAGACCCTCGGTTCCCGAGCATACTGTTTTTGCCCCCAAAGAATGATGACAGTGTCGTCTGCTTGCCCGCCATTATTACAGCAGTACACTCATGCTTAAGCTCCTCACAGCCACAGCCCCTATCACAATGTTACGTCACGAAGGTATCAGAGCTTGCAGTTGCACGTGGTTCACCCTCCTACCCAGAGTTCCATGCCGTCAGCATAGGTCCTCTCAGATGATTCGTCACATCTCCATTCAAGCAAAGACGTAAATACGTCTTTGATTCAAGATATCGCATATGTATTTCATCTGTTTCATTTTTGACGAGCCTATCTATTTAGATAAACATATGTCTTAGATTGTGTAAGTCAGTTTCATTGAGAAAATATCATGAAATGTGAAAAACTATCACTATTTGCATATTTATTCTTTGTTCACATTGGATCACACTCCAGCGCAGTGGTGACTTAGCATCGCTCCACTGCCACAGGCTAATTTGCATATCACGTCACCGGACTTTTCTCTTGTTTGTAAACAAGTGCACTTTTTAAGAAATCAGAAAAGAACAGACTAATGCAAGTATTTGGGAGCACTTTACATATTGTTTTGCATAATTATATAGATACGCTACTACAACTGCGACAGTGAGTTGCATGACAATACATATGATATTTACACATTAAAGTGACCGCATCGCAATAGCTCTCCGTAGGTTTTGATGACAGCACATGGAGCCCAAAAATATTTTGTCATGCACCTTTCGCATTTGTGGCAGCATATCTAGATCTATATTATTTTGAAAAACAATATCTAAAGCTCACCAAAGGCTTGCATTAGGCCAGTCTGTTCTGTTTTCAGAGTAAGCGCGTTTGTTTACAAACGCGCGAAAGTTCAGTCACGTGATTGTGATATGCAAATTAGCCAATGGCAATGGTGCAATGCGAAGTCCTCACTGCGCATGAGTGTGCACGTGGTTCTGAACTCATTCGGAAAATATTGATTAAATCCGTTACTTGATAACTATAGCTTTGTTGTGTCTAGATACCAAAGATTAGAAAGATGCAATTTGAATGAAATGAAACGAGTCGAGTCCAGTTTATTTTTAGAAAACTGGGATTTCCTTTCTGTGTGGAAAAGAAACACGGACAGATTTGAGAGTCGAGTGAACAAAGTTTAAACACCTTGTTGCAGACACAGACTCATTTGAAGTTATTTTTTTCTAACATAAACATTTACTGGTCTTTGCCATTTTTTACCAGCCAAAAGCTGGCATATACCGGAGAACTGAAACACTGTTGTGTAATCGGTGTTTCGCCGTTCACTTGTGGTATTTCCGCCTCCATTATTAGTAAGTGTGCACGTATGTGACAATACTTAGCCATTATTAAAGTGGTGGTCAGCGGCGCCAAGAACATTCCGTATCTATATGATAAAACTCACAGCTTACTGCGCTTAAATCGTGTTCGATGAATGGGTCTTTCTCGAGAGATTCACATAAATACAAGATTTTCTGCCGGGATAGGATGAAACGTACTAGCTACAACTGTGTATATTTGTAACAAAGCTGAACCTATTGTTTTAGTCATGGTAGCTCCAAATCTAGACTTGTAATGCGCGTATAGTTTTTTAATTTCTTTGTCGGTCATGTTATCAATTTTTTCAGTGGTATTATTTTCCCCCAAGTATTGTGAGCATTTTCCATCGGCTACTAAAGCCGCGAGTCCTTCTCCATGTTTATCTGAAGATTTATCTGCAATAGGATCTGGCTCATCTTGGAGCAGTTGTTTCGATAAGTTCGTCGCATTCCATAATGTAATAACCTAGCCAATATTTAAGTCTAACATAATGAAATATGGCATATCCAATACAGCCCGAAATAATAAACTGTTGCAAAAGAATGAGGATTTCAAACCACTTTATTACATAATCACCGCTAGTGTTCAATTTATCGCATTTTGCTATATGTTTGCGATATTGTGCTATATTTTTGTTATATTTTGCTGTCTTTTCTGTATTTTGCTATATCTTTGCTATATTTTGCTAAGCAGTTGCTATATTTTGCTATATTTGTGGAAACGTTTGCTAAGCAGCTGGCTTATTGGTTTTTAATACAAATTTACAGTGCTTTGTTTCCGTAACAGTTTTCTGACTTTTTCTCATTCGAGCTTGGTAGAAATAACATCATTTTCTAACACATTCCTCAAATGAATCTGGGTCTTTGCAATGAAACAGGGCTACCCTTTTGGTCTGCTTTCTGAGATCTTTCAGAACAGAGCTGTATTTTTGAGTAAGTACCCAAACGCTATGCTCCATATGCCAACCGGAGAATGCTAAATATGAAAGCATATCTTTCTTTTTGGTTAGTTCTTTACTCGCACTGCAGTTGTCTATTATGGAAAGGGTTGATTCTCCTTTGTATTTTTCGTGACATACTCGTAAACAGTCTTGTAATCGATCACCCGGATCAACTTTGTGCACCCTGGGATCATTCATTACCCATTCTCTCGATAGGTATGTTTTATTAACGTTATAGTCGGGCACAGAATAATAGTATGGTCGAAAACATTCTGATAATGACTTTGTAAAATATCAAGAATAAAAGCTGTTTTTCCGCAACCCGTTTGCCCACAGATGATAGTGCAGTGTGGTTCTTTAGGTAAAAGATTATTAATAGATCGCTTGCATGAATCTTCCATTCCGTATATTAAGTTGCGCGTCCATAATCACTTACAAATATATGTTTAATTTACCAGCCGTTTCAGCACGCTTTGTTATCTGTATAGTAACACACTCACTGGCATTTTCTATTCTGCAATCTGTAGTTCAAGCCATAGCGCATACTTAGTGGAAAGGAATTCAGCCAGTGATACATCCCCGAGAGACAGATCTTTCTGGGCTTCGTTTTATAGAAAGGAGTTTTTTAATCTCATCCCACTGTTGCCTTGACTATATAGTTGATTAGGCACGCCCTCGATAGTAAATTCTACTTTTGTAATCTTTGGATTGTAGAACGGCTCTGTCTTTCTTGCAAATGCTTCAGAAGGATCCTCGAACAACATTAAAATACCCTTCAACGATCTAGCGGGGATGTTTAGATTGATGTTCCACATCGTATCACTTTTGTCCCTGGTGATGTTTCGGTGTCGAAGCATGCGATTGTGCTAAATGGCTTAACTTCTGTTATACTGGTTACGAATTTGTCTTGCTAATTCAGGATCTGTTATCATATCATACTCCAGTGGGATATTGTCAATGGAATAGCCACCATCTTCACATCGGTATTGATTACTCTGTCATTAAAAGGGAGTTTGTATTCTAACCTATCGCCTAGGGATGCTTGATAAAAGGGTATGTGACTATCTAGTAAGTTGAGCAGAATATAGAATCGGTTACCCAATGCAACAGCAACAGCATTATCTTTTGAGCTGTTAGGACTACCATTCTCAGCGCCTACAGGCTTTCTCATTTTTTCCAATGAGTGCTTGTGTCAATACCTTGGTACTGTAAGGTTTCCCGTTCTTTTGCAGTTCTCCAGAGATCCATGTAACAGAAGTATACATTGCTGTCGTCAATACTCAAGACATCATTACCGCTAATTTTACTGTTGATTTTCTTTACAATTGCACGACCTTTGTTCTGAACAAGCTCCCTGTTAACGTCTTCAGAAGTGAAACTAATTGTAAATGATACTTCTGGGGCGGTATTCATAAACATTCTTAGAATTTTCTTAAGAATACTCTTAACTCGCTAAGAAAATTCTTAGCTAAATGTTACACTTAGGAGTGTAATCATAATGACTCTGAGCGTAACTTTTAGCTAAGAATTAAGTGAAACTCTGAGAGTAACGCTTAGGTCAGACATTGGTCGTAACCAGGGGAATCCCTGTGGTATATTTAGAATTCCGGGCACTTTTCAGTTTTAGAGGCATGATTTTGTATCGCGTGACTGTCACGTGATGTCAACACGCAGACGTGCATCTGTCAACACTTCGCGCGATGGATTCAGCACAAATGATTGCAGTGAAGCGCAAACCGAATTGGTCATCTGACCAGACCTTGCTCCTGGTCCAACTTGTCGATGAGCGGAAGGCTATCATCAAGGGCAAGTTTGGGTCAGGAGTTACGTCGCGGATGAAGAAGGAGGCATGGGGTGAGGTGGCAGCAAACATCAATGCTGCATTTCCTAATGTGATCAGATCGACAGAGGACTACGAAAAGAGATGGTATAATATCCAGTCGAAGTCAAGACAGGAGATATCTGCTTTCAAGAGACAACTCAGTGGCACCGGTAAGTAATTAAAAATCAAGACAACTAAAAACATCTTAAAAACAGTATTTACAATGTTTCTGTTACGCCGTCTGAAAAAGTATCATGTCCGAAAATCCATGATCCGATAAGCAGTTTATAAACAATGTACTCTAAGGGCCTACGGTGTTTCCGTTCTGCGGTAATTACCGGCTTTTTACCGATAAAAATATGAACGTTGTCGGCTACCATGTCCGATAAAACATTGTTTGTTTTAAGATATGATCATGTCAACAGTTACTTGCCTTACAAATTTGTCATATAAATTGATAGGCTTTATTCATCAAACACAGAAACGCAAGTGTCTGTCTCGCATTCCAGGGAAACCCCCATCTAATAATAGCATGACTATCCCGCACCAATTGACGTGCTTCGCTCTGATTGGATAATAATGTCTTGAAAGATGACGTTGGTAATCACGTGATCTCTGACGCCTCCTGGCACAAGATTAAACGTCGAAGGCGAAGCAGACGAATCTTTCCACTTTCTTTGGGGGGGAGACGTCTAATGCTAATCGGAAACGGAAACATGTGGCTGATGCGAGCGAATGTATTGAATCAAACATGCCAACTCCCTCGACCTCGAAATCTTCGGACACAATGCCTAGCGAACCAGACTCGAAAAAGAAAACGAAATCTGTACTGCGAAAGTTTAATGCGGAGTGGTCGAATGAATTCAAGTTGCTACGTTTTGAGGAGGAGGGCGACAAAATCATACTGTTTTGCTGAATCTGCGAGGCAGCAAATAAATCTAACGGTTTCACTAAAGGTTGTATTAATCTTTAGAAATCTGCTTTGAAAGATCATAGAGGCAGCGCCTCTCATCATCAGGCCGTTACAACGATGTATCACAAAAATGCAATAGCAGCGCATATGGAGGTGGCAGCAGAAAAATCTGACGAGAAATTAACAGCAATGTTAAACACAGTTTTATTCATGTCTCAAGAAAATATTGCTACCTCCAAGTTTTCTAAACTAATCAAACTGCAGCAGCGGAACGGATGTGAATATTTACAGGGAGAAACGTACACTCATTCGGACTCGATAGATGCGATGGAGAATGCACTTGTTGAGAGTACTAAAGAAAATTTAAAATCTTAACTTGAAAAAAGCAAGTTTATTGGACTCATTATCGATGAGACTGTTAATATCACTGGTTGAAAAAAAACTTATATTGTTTGTGAAAATCGTTAACGACGGAAAGGCAGAAACAGTGTTTTTAGGAAATTTTTCAGTTCATAGTGGAACAGCCGAATGTATCATGGAAAAAATTCTAGAAATTTTGCCTCAATGGAACATTCCTTTGGAAAAAGTGGTCAGCTAGGATCGGATGGTGCGTCTGTTATGACCGGGAAACTCTCAGGAGTTGGGAAGAGGTTGCAGGATCATAATTCATATCTTGTGCACGTCCATTGCATAGCCCATCGTATCGCACTTGCTTCAGCCGATGCAGCGAAGATTTCGAAGGTCGTAGCGGAATATAGAAGGACATTGAATGATATCTACAAACTGTTTGAATATTCAGCGACACGATACAACAGATTGCGAGAACTTTCAGAGGTCCTTGAAGATTCGGACTTTTCAAGTTTAAAACAACCGTGCAGTGTTTGTTGGCTTTCCGTGGGACGGGCGGTCAAAGCAGTGAAATCTAACTGGCCGAGCGAAACAACGCTGTTGCCACGAATATTCACAAGAAAATTTGCACGTACTCCTTTATCCGACTTACTTACATGATGACTGACGTGCTCCATGTGATGGACAAAATTGTTACTCTTTTTCAGAGAGAGAATATCAACTTGGGCATGATTATGCCAATTGTGAATTCTACGATTGACTCCCTTACCAGTCTAGAAAACAGCGCAGGTGAAAATAAACAGCATTTCTTGGATAATCTGAACAACGGGGAATTTCGCGAAATTCAGGTTACATATAGGGGCCCGCGATCTATCGGTGCGTTTGTGAAAACCCATTGTGGGTTCATCGAGGAAGTCTGTAACTCTCTGAGAAAAAGATTTCCGGATGACTCGCTTGATATCGTTACTTGTCTGGACAAAGTGCTCAACCCAAATAGATTTCCCCAAATGCAAGAGGAACTGACAGCTCACGGAAGGGAATCCCTCGAGAAATTACTGGACAAAATCTGCCTCCCGATTGGTCCAGCTGAAAATGACGTCATCAATCGCATCCCGGGGCTGCAGGACTTCACACCTTTCAAGATGGCGGTCAACAACATAGGAGCCGACTCGTTCGAACAAAGTTGCAAGACAGTGATTTCTGAACTTTCAGATATTTATCCCTACTTTTCCACTCTGTGCTCGATATCACTTGCTATCCCAGTTAGCAGCGTTGATGCTGAACGTGGATTCAGTTTGCAAAACAGGATACACTCTGCCAGTCGCAATCGTCTTTCCCAACAACGGATAAACACGCAGACGTCAACAATACTGTCAAACAAGCTACGAAGATCTTTCGTAGAAAGAAACGCAAACTTGAATAAACAAGTCAGTATGTTTTGTGTTGTATTTTATTGATTTTATTAATGACTGACAAAAATCACAAATGTCCGGTATTTTGATACATTGCCGGCTCATCTGTCTGGCAGATAAAAATATGACCGGAAACACTGGCCTAAATTATTTCGTATTATTTAATTTTCTTCATAAAGAATAGCATTTTGATTAGAATTCATGTAAAATTCATATTTAGATAGGTAGCAGCTTAGAAACAATGCACACTGTTCAATCAGGTTCAATAAATTACCTTTGTCTTCATTGATGATTAATGTCTTCATAAAAAAGTGAAGGCAAATATGGATTCTTTAGGGGATGTGAACTAAAATATGCCTTCAAAAATGTTTATGACATTAAATAATAATAATAATAATAATGTTTGCCAATTATGATAACATATTGTATTGACCTTAATTTGTATTTACTGAAAAACTTAACTAACTTGAATAAACAATATTTTCCACTTGACAGACCTGTTAAAATGTTCTCATTACACCATACTATCTGCATGTAATTTCTTTATGGAAGATACATATATATACATGTATATAAATAGACAAAGTAACAATCTTTGGAAAGAAAGTGTTGATTTCAGTGTTGATTTCAGTTTACTATAAGTACAAAAAGTAGAGGCATGTAGAAATTATTATATTAATTTTCTTATGAAGCTCAAACATGATATTAGAATAGACCAAAATGGATTAGTTCAAAATTACCTAAAGAAAACAGATGTAGCATTCATACTGAGAATCATTACCAAAAAATTGAACTACTTTGCATGTGATTAGTTATAGCTCTTTGGTACTATGAGCACATTTATGATGACAATAAAACAACCATGTATTGTTCTTGCTACTTGCATGTATTACTTTACTTATGTTTAATTTCGTTGGTATATGTGTGCTATGCTGCGGTTAGCAGCAGTTTGCCATCACACATTGTTTACACTAAGTCACGACAAAGGTGCTGCTACGTACATATTTATGCAGGTCATGCTGGCCTAGCTTGTACCAGCTATATAATTCCCTTATCTAAATGCACTCTTAACCTTTACAGTTTATTGCTTGTGCCATCGACAGCCACATCTGTCATAGTCTTAACTATTTGTTTTGACAGGAAGGAAGTTTGACAGGAGCATGCGCAGATACGTGTTTCCTCTCGGGAAGCTTACAAGCCTTCCTCCCACGCATGCGCAGTCTGTACATGTCCGCAGCAGTGTTATCATTTGTGAACAATGACAAGCAGTTTTTAATCGAAGCGATCTTGCCTCCCCAGGCTTGTTACTCGAGTTGGAATAAGAGTAGTCGTGCTTCACGGTAATAATGCCACCTGTGAGATGAAAAAAGACACCCAAGTCATCTAAGAAGTCAGCCACTCCAGGGCGATCAGGTAACGCAGAATCTCATGTCCATCTTCAGAATGCTGACACAGGAGAAATTCTTCGCGTGGAGAATGTAAACTTCCCAGGGTCTTCCACAGCATTCCAGTCTTCAGTCCATGTTAATGCTACAGGGAGACCTGCTACAGTAAGAAGCAATGTCAGAAGAGATCAACGTCCATACCAGACATTCCCTCGGAACTGGTCACTGCCCCTTATCTGCAGCTATATCAAAGACACACTCAACATCACAGCTCCATCAGGCCTGACCTGACAACAGTACCAGCGGTTTTATACTGACAATCTCCACCTTCTTCACAACCAACCATCAGTGAGTGAAAACTTCACAGATTGTGACATAAACACTCAAGTGCTCCCTCTGGACGTCCCACCTCATTCCAGTGTTAACTTGTCAGACATTATGACTGCGTTTCAGTCACTGAAACAGACAGTGGAAAACCTACAAATGCAAGTTCAACGTCAGCAGAGTCCACAACTGTCACAACCTCAACTACCACAACAACCCCAATATCGGCCACAACCAAATTCCTCAGTGCCTGAACATTTCTTCATGGATGCTCTGTCCGGTACTAGTCACGGTTACGCCTTGTACACTGACAAATTTGCCAAGGACGACCCCTTCGCAGTGGAGCCGGAAGGTAACCTCCCAGCAATACCACAACATATCATGGATGGTACTACACCTGAGGTGGAAGTGGTCTTGGCTACACTTCGTCGCCAAATATGTGAAGGTAGAGACATTAACTTAGCTCTTCTACTTATGCCAGATGATCTTTCAACTCCGTCCAAAACAATACATGTCGATAACATGGAGTTACTTCTCAAAGGGTTTAACAATGGTGATTCCAGATTGCGTCAGCCATTAACAATTGGCAACTTCATTATTGCATTCGGCCGCTATAAGGACATCATGATAAGTCGTTGGCCACAACGCAGGAAAGAAGTGGTCAAGTATCAGCGCACCATCATTGAAATGCATGCGTAATATCAAGATTTAACGTACTACCAGTACCACAAGCGTTTCTCAGCAAAGGCAGCAGCATTACTGGAGCAGCAAAACTGGAAAGTCAACTGGGGAAAAGTGGATGCCGAGCTATACAGGACAATATTCACTGGACGACGACTCAATGCATGTCAACTTTGTCACGACGTCGGATATTCTACACAGTTCTGCTCACTGGTTTCTACCTCTCAAGCTACCAAAGCACAGCCATCACACAATGATGCCCCAGATCAACGGTGGCAGTCAGACAAAAGAGCAGATTGCCATGGACGAGCAATCATTATCCACCAAGGCATTCCAATTTGTAATAATTATAATGCCGACAAGTGCATCCATGTCAACTGCAAATACAGACATCTGTGTTCATTTTGGTGTAAACCCCACTCTGCCCCGAAGTGCCGAAGTCTAGACACAGAAGAAAGTACCAGCCAAATGAAAGATAAAACATCTTCAAAGAAG